GTTCTCGGCAACTGGTCTGCAAGTTGGTAATCAGTGCCACTGCGTGTTCATGGAGGGACTGCTGCACATGGCTTCCCCTAGTTCTAAGTGTAGGACATGCCTACTGGCTTGGCCGCACTTTCGAAGCTGCCCGTGCCGGGTCCTGAGTGGGAAAGCAGATTAGTTGGAGAAGGAGGGGGTATGGAATTGGATTCCACCGTGATTAGTTCACCAATTTCAAGATTTGGGCTATGATTCGAAGCACATGAACCGGAGTGCTTTTGCTCCTTTTGGAAATGTTTCAGTGCCTTGTGCTGAGCCTCTAGAAGCTAGAAGCATGAATTTCCGAGCTAGCACAGTGCAGGCTATCGCAGTTCGATGATCTCAAGCCATCTCAAGCCACTGCCCAGGCTGGGAGGTGCTCAGATCATCGCGTTCGCGGGCCTCATTGAGACGACAGGCAGGTGGGAGTTTGCCTGAGCCCAGATGTGGCAAAACCCTGCGGTCCCTAAAGCAGGCTTCTTCCAGGCCGCCTCCACCACCGACGGCCGAGGACCTCGGGAGGGCCAGTTCGCCATGAAGGACTCCACGGAGAATCTCAGAAGAACTTGTGGAGCTAGGGCTAGGGTGCCTGGCCGTCTTTGTGTGCCGAACTTTGCAATAGCGCAACGCATGAGCAAGCGCTCCTGTGAGTAGTATTCGTCCGTGAATAATACTATGGTACCCAATATAGAGTAAGATTCTATCCTCTTTTTTGGGTATAGTATTTTTCACAAGGAATATTATCTTACTAGGTTTAACCACCAAAACAAACGCTACTCATGTTACACATGCCGGATGTGCGATGCGTGTAGCTGAGAGGGCATTCCGCAACCCGCCCCGAGCGGATCCCCTCAAGCCCCAGTCTGATCCAAGGAGCGCCGAGCCCGGAAATTACGGCGTCGGCTTTCCCAACTTCATTGGCAAAGTAGAGGACTCCAGACTCAAATGCGGGCCTGAGAAAGTGTGAGGCATGAAAAGCATTCAAAAGTTGGGCCGACCCTGGAGGATCCGGAAACTCGCAAGTCCAAGCTTGCGGCCGAGTTGGTGGCTTGGTCAAAGCTGTATGATGCTGGAGCCTCATCGGTTAGCCCCTGACTCTACGTGCGCAGGCGAACGGACGCCTGGCAATGATGGCCATCATCGGCCGCCCGGCCCGAGCAAAATAGAACAGTCCAAGTGTGCTTTATCTGTGGGAAAGCGATTTCGATTTTCTCAGGCATGTTCTTCCAAGATGGACTCACTGGCTCGGCGTGGGGAGATTGGAGCCTTTACACCGCGTCTCCTTTGAGAGCCGAGCCGGTCTCAGCTGCAGCAGCTGCAGCCGCCGCCAAGGTGCGCAGCTTTGTGCAGCCCCTGAAAAGTTGAAGTGAGTAAGCAAGAAGTTTGTCGCGAACATCGTGCCAACTCATGCCAGCATCTGTTAGAGATTTGATTGGATTCTGTGCTCTCGATTTTCTTCTTAACGTGAACACTCACAAGGCAGCCGCTGCGGCCAAGGGCGCCACGGCCACCACGTCGGCTGTCGCTGGCACTGCCGGCGCCGGCTCGCTGTCCAAGGGCGAGGGCGTGGCCGGAAAGAAGGGCCCCAGCCCCTCCTTCGACCCATCCACGCAAATTGGGGCCATGGCTCCTCTCGGATTTTTTGATCCGGCCGGCTTTAGCAAGAAGGGCGACGAGGATGGCTTCCGCACGCTCCGGGCTGCGGAGATCAAGCACGGCCGTGCCTTGTCCAGGATGTTGCATGATGTTGAGCTTTGAGGTTCCTCTCCCCCAGAGGCATTCGCGAAGTCTCCGAAGAAGAGACCCCGCCAGCATGCGTTGTTGAAAACAAAAAACAATTTTTCAAAGAAGGGCCAGTCAGAAGCGAGTACAGAACACGGGCGAACGCAAGGGTTTGTAGTGGTTCTTTTCCCTCGTTTGCTCGATCGATGTTTTCCAGGCGTGGCCATGATGGCAGCGCTGGGTGCCGTGGTTCAGCACTACG